ACGAGTCCCAGCGGTAAAACAGATGACGCTGAGATCGTGGAAGGAGAGGACAGCGCCTATAGTGTGCGCTTTGTGCCTCATGAGATGGGCCCCCACACGGTCAATGTCAAATACAGGGGCCAGCATGTCCCCGGAAGCCCTTTCCAGTTCACCGTGGGGCCCCTTGGAGAGGGAGGGGCCCACAAAGTTCGGGCCGGTGGTACTGGACTGGATAGGGGTGTGGCTGGAGTTCCAGGTAAGAGACTCTGGAAGCAGTATTAGTATTGATATTGTCAATTAAAAATTATTAGGGCTGTGCAAAAATTAATTGCGATTAATCGCATCCAAAATATATACATGCATGCATAGATATTTATATATACAAAATATTTATATACAGCACACACAAATATATTATTAATTAATTTTTGCACAGCCCTAAAAATTATATTAAAAAAATTCTGTAAAAACAAAACAAAAATTGAAGTAACTCTGAAAAATAAAATAAAATGTAGGGTTAGATTTATTTAAATGTAAAAAAAAAAAAAAAAAAAAAAACCTGAACTAACTGAAATAAAATAAATTGAAGCACGAAAAGTATTAAAAGTGAAATAAAATTATTAAAACAATAACATTTAAAAAAACAATAAGCACATAACAAAATTGCTAAAACTGAAGCTAAAATTTAAAGGAAAACTTTTAAAAAGTGAACTTTTAAATAAAAAGAAAATTATAAAAAATTAACCTTATTCAAAATATTAATAAATACTATATTTATATACTATAGGTAATCCTAAAATAATCCACTGTTTATCTGGGATAGTGCGAACATTACTTTAGACCACTGAGGTCTAACAGGTTTTTTTGCATATTTTTTTTTTATGTGTGATTTTTAGCTGAGTTTAGTATCTGGACTCGTGAGGCGGGTGCTGGTGGTTTGTCCATAGCCGTTGAGGGGCCCAGCAAAGCAGAGATTTCCTTTGAGGACAGGAAGGACGGTTCCTGTGGGGTGGCCTACGTAGTACAGGAGCCTGGTAAGTGCTCATGATCATTTCCAATAACACAGATGTGTTTTACAATGGCTCTCAGTCTTTTTTCTCTATCTCTCATTTCATGTATTTATTTCATTTCCTATCAGGTGACTACGAGGTGTCAATCAAATTTAATGACGAACATATCCCAGACAGCCCTTTCATCGTTCCCATTGCATCACTATCAGATGACGCCCGCCTACTTACCATCTCCAGCCTGCAGGTGAGTGACTCCAGATCAAACACACACGCAGAAAGGCCTCGTTATTCTCTGTAGCAGCGGGACAGGTGAGATCCTGGGACTATTGAGAGCGGATGGCAGCTTATTTATCAAAACACTCTTTGAGAGACTCTAAGATCACTTGATGGAGAGCACAGAACAGCTTATCATGAGACGAGACAAGTGTGCTTGCAGTTTCTCAGGAAAGACACAAGAGCATGGCAAAGTAGTTTTTATGTTGGCCGTTGTGAATATGCTTGCATCTTTACATACTCAGCTTTAAAATGCTGAAGATTAGATCTCTCAGCAGGAGATGGGTCTGAAGGTGAACCAGGAGGCCTCGTTTGCCGTTCAGCTGAACGGAGCGAGAGGAGCGATTGATGCGAAGGTGCACACACCGTCTGGAGCAGTGGAGGAGTGTTACATCACTGAGTTAGACAATGGTGAGCATATGGGCACATACTCGCAGATAGAAAAATACAGGGGAATTATTTGATCTATAATTACTTGAATGATTTTATGATTATTTATTATTTTATTAATCAAATTTTATTATTAATGTAGAATAGTATTTTTTAAATATAAATATATCATTAAAATGTATTATTTAATATATTATTGCATGACTTTGTATATTATTATTTCTATATTATTTTTGCGTTATATATTTTGAATATTATTATTTACATTTCTAATATACAAAAAAATATGTATTAATTTTGTAATATATTATGTTATCAAACTATTTGTATTATATTATTTTGTTATTATTATTATTTTATATTATCTAAATATTTGTATGCATCACTAAATATATTCTTTTTAAAATTCATTATTTTAAACTTCTTATTATGTTATATAAATAAGTAATATTATTTTATTAAACCATTGTAATACTTTTTCATTTGTGTATTATTAATTATAAATAATAACAATAATAGTAAAAAATAATGCATTTTATTTATAATGTGTTTTTTCTCATACCCAAAGCCCTACAAAAACTGAAAAATGAGGTAAAATAGAGAAATGCATTCATAAACAATACAAGGAAATACAACACCCTACAAATTATGATCACTGTAATATTTAAAGACACACTAGAACTGATGTTAGTCTAGAGTATATAGATTGAATTTGAACTTATTCAACATCACATGCCTGTTTGTGCAGATAAACACGCCATACGGTTTATTCCACGGGAGAACGGCGTCCACTCCATTGATGTCCGTTTTAACGGGAGTCACATCCCAGGCAGTCCCTTCAAGATCCGTGTAGGGGAACCCGGACAGGTGGGAGATCCAGGAATGGTGACTGCTTTTGGGCCCGGACTGGAGGGCGGAACTACAGGTATGACACCAACCAACCAAGCAGCCAATCACGAGTCTTAAGACACGTACCTGTACATTCACTCAACACATTCATCCTTCACAGGTGTACCCTCGGATTTCATCGTAAACACGTGTAACGCTGGGTCAGGAGCTCTGTCCGTTACCATTGACGGCCCATCGAAAGTCAAGATGGATTGTCAGGAATGTCCAGAAGGATACAAGGTCACATACACACCCATGGCTCCCGGCAGCTACCTCATCTCCATCAAATATGGAGGACCGCAGCATATTGTGGGCAGTCCCTTCAAAGCCAAAGTCTCCGGTGAGACATCATCACACACTACTTTAGACTATGCTTTTTCTGCTCTCTCCATACAGGACTGACACAGAAACAGGTACCTTGAAGATTTTTAGAGTAAAAATTATACAAAGTATGATACAAAATATAGAATAAAAAATATTATTTTAAATTTTACAAAACAAACAGCATTGTTGTGGCTTAAATATTACAGTAAATATACAGAAGTTATGGACAAATGATCAGGCAGGATTATTTTGCAATATTATGGAGCGGATTCGAAACCAAACAAGCTTACAAAACTATGAAAATGTGTGAAATTGTTTGACATGGCAATGATTTGAAGGTAAAACTACCAAATGAACAGCAACTCATGTTTCGTGAAGCAAATCAATAAAAAGAAATTCACTCTTCCAGGCGCACGTCTGTCAGGCGGTCACTCTCTACACGAAACGTCATCGGTTCTGGTGGAAACGGTGACAAAATCATCCTCGGTGGCGGGATCTTTCTCTACTCTGCCAAAGTTCTCGTCCGATGCCAGTAAGGTGGTCTCCAGGGGGGCCGGACTCTCCAAAGCCTTCATTGGCCAGAAGAACACCTTCACGGTGGACTGCAGTAAAGCAGGTACGTGACTTTTTCAAGCGTGCACGGCTGTATTTGTACATAATGCACATTTACAGATGACTAAACTGCTTTTAATTGTATTTTTTTTTTTTGCAGGGACAAACATGTTAATGGTAGGAGTGCACGGGCCAAAGACTCCCTGTGAGGAAGTCTATGTCAAACACATGGGCAACAGAATGTACAATGTCACATACACAGTGAAGGAGAAAGGAGACTACATCCTCATAGTCAAATGGGGTGAAGAAATGGTGCCCGGAAGCCCTTTCCACGTCACAGTGCCTTAAAAGACTGTCTTTAGATGCTCTCCACTATGCAAAGACTCTACTGATCGTCCTGGGAAAGAGACGGGACTCACCGACAATGCCTTTTCATGACATATTAACTCACTGTGTTTTACAAATAATCAAGAAACCGTTCTATATCTGCATACGCTTTATCCAAAGTTCATTATGTGTTCATTTCATGCTCGGTTATGTATCTTAATTTTTTTTTTTTTATGATGTTATTTTAGATGTTGTGAGACTAGAGAATGTTTGAAGCAAAAGCGAATGATAAAATGGTTTTGCACTGCCCAGCAGTTGCTGTTTTCAATCACGTCCACCCTGTTACCAGTCAAGTTACTGTCCGGACCATTTACAGACGTAATTTAACAGCTGAGTTATTTAATCTTTTTATTATTATTATTATCTAATGCTAAATCTGGTCTTATTTTTATGATGGAATAACATCATTTAGTCTCTGAGTCTGGAGTAAGTTTGCACCCGGTCCCCCTGATAAAGGGCTTAGTTTTGAGCATTGAAAGCCTGATTTTTTAGTCCTAGTGGACTAGGTTTAGGCTCACACTGGGTCTGAACTGGTCCCGGGTGGCCCAGCACCCCTGCAGACTGGGTTGTGCGATTGGTTAGATGAGATTTCTTTTTTTTTTTTTTACCAAACGGTGTAGCAAAAACCGTTCAGCATGTGAATGTTTGAAATCCCAGTTTTTACAGTGACTATATTAAAGAGCAACATTTTATAGTGATTTTATATGTATGAATTTAAAATAGAAATGTATGGAGAAACACTAATTGTTTAATATTTTATTCTACTGTTTGGTAAAACTGTGCTGGCATAATAAAATTTTAATTGATGAAATGCTGTTTATTGATGTCTATATTATATTATATTATATATTATATTATATTATATTATATTATATTATATTATATTATATTATATTATATATTCATCTGTAGTTCCTGGACAGTATGTTACAGTCACCCTAAATATAAAATCAAAATAATAAAAAATGGTTTTTTTTTTTTACAGAACCAAGATAAGTTGACCAAAATATTAAAAGGAGATACAATATCATATCAACATGTGCCATATATTAATAAAACTAACAGTAAGAAACCTTCCAAAGCATTTCCTCCATGACTGTAAGTCGTGCGTTTGTTTCCTTCGCAGCCTCTAGAGGGCGATCGTACACTATTCCAATGCCAGCAGGTGTAGTTAATGAGGTATTAGATAATTAGAGGCTCGATCACTGCATGTTGGCTGGGAGAAAAGCTCTTTCAGGTCAGTGTTTGTTTGGGCTTTACTGATTTAAAATAACAACATTTCTAATGAATCCCAGATATATACATAAAGGATGTTTCAAATAAATAAGCACAGCAGTCTTTCTGTTATCAAGTGTATCAGTATCTTGAGAGAGACTAGTTTCCACTCAGGTCTCATCATCATTAACACGGTAACTTGGGTGAACCACTTTAAACATATGAGGAGGAAAATTCCTTCAAAGAGGCAAATAAGAGTGGAATTGTGTTCCAACTGAGATTAATAACCAACACACTCCAGGAATGTAACATTTCAGGGCCTGAAGTGAATCAAATATGTGTGTGGTGTAATGTGAAATGCTCAAATTATCAAGCTCTTGAGGTTTCTTTCCAGTTTAATGAGCAGAATATAAACACATAACTTTGTTTTCTTTTCCTGACTGTGATCTTGCCCCATAATTTGAATGTGTAATATTTTCTGTTGTATGAATCCAATCAGTTTAGACAAGCTATTTTGCCAGAGACATCAATATATAGGCTTAGCCTATATTCTGCTCATCTATCATCATGTCAGAGGCCAAATAAATATAAAAGAGCTGGAATACGTCAGTCCCTTTATAGCTTCAGGTATTGCTGGATTTGGGCTTTCATATTGATCGATGACTATTTTTGATGCAGGAATCAGATGCGACTGGGAAGAGGAGGATAAAGAGGATCGCAGAACGACCATCTTCTTCCTCGGATCCTGAGTAAGATACATAGCTGTATTTGCTCATCCTTCACAGGTGTACCCTCCCTCAGACGCACTCTGTGGAATACTTGATTCCTATTGGTCAATCGCGGTTTCCTGCGGTCAGATTTTTCTTTATACATTTCCTAATGATTCTACTTTCATCTTCCACTCGCTCTTGTTCGATTGTAGTGAAAATTACCTGATAATTATAGCCCCGTTCACACGGTACGCTGATTTCACGCAGCCGACATTATGAAATCCAAAGCGAGTCTCCGGTTGTATCCCGGAAGTAGACAACAATGTCTTGGACTACAAACCTGAAGCTGCTGCCGCGATTTACACTTTTGGATGTTAATATCCAATATAAGATATGTATATAATATAATTCGTTCCTGCTTCTTTTTTTTACGTTCTGAGTTATATAAAAAAAATCATTTATTTATAAATGAATTTCACTGTATAAAGTATGAAAGAAATGTATGTACATTTTTAGAATAACTAATTTCTACATTAAACACAACATAATGCTATTGTATTCGTGACTCTCCAATAATTGACACTTCCGGTTTCGTATACCCTACCTATAATATAGCATCCACACAACGCTGTCAATGTTTTTATCATTCATCAGCTGGATCTGAAAGTGATTCCAACAATATCGTTCCTGTGTCGTCATCGTTATCATTCTGGTGTGGATTGAGCTATTCTCGTAGAATTAGAACGATTGTTAAAACGTAGTATTGTTATTACTTGGTTTAAAGGTCCATTTAGTCCCAGTAAAATTAAAATCCGAGTACTGCTTTTCTCTGTAGAGGCACAAGTTCAAATGCTGAATTAAATCGGTTCTGTATGTATATTCAAATTACCTTTAAAGGTTTCTTCATCATGTGAATGGTCCCTGTAGGCCCACAGGTCAACCTGATCCCTTTATGTGCTTTTTATCACCTTTTGCTCTCAGCCTCTGCAATATCCATGCCTAGAACTCTCTTTCTGCCAATAAAGAGATAGATGGCCAGTAGCGGCACTATGTCACCTCATCAGTATGTGGAAATCCTACTGAAAGGTGCTTGATCTCTACTTTCTTTTTGTCCCTGGGCCAGGCCTCCAGGAACGGGCTAGATAGAGCCCATCTTAATGAGATACGGGGGATGACAGGAACCTAATGGATTCCTGGTCATTTGTAATGAGGATGTAAATGGCAATAAAGGCTCTGGGGCTGGAATTAAAGCCGCAGATTTCTAACACTGAGTCGCAGTGGACTCGTTCTAAAGGATTTCTCGTTATAGTGAAAAAGGGACAGGAAGGGAGAAGAGCCATTTAAAGAGAGCTAGAGGGATTTCAACACCTGGTTGTGCGAGTGTGGACTGGGAAAATCACTTAGCAATGTAAAATGACCTTGCACCTGTGGATGGAGCTATAGTGGGGCGCACCGTCCTTCCTTTGACTGTGTATGATTTAGTGGGCTTAATCTCCAGTGGATTGTGACGCAAACTGGGGAGGGTCAGCTGGAACAAAAGGTGATTTTATTTTATCTGAAAAGATGGATAGACTGTGATTTCTTTTATAAAATGGTTCATTAAAGGATAAATTAGTATTATGGATTATGGTGGAAGCTTGTTTCTGCCACAGAATTAAAAATGAAAGGATATTGTTACTTTATCTCGCATTTGCGCGATATAAATGCAAGGTCACAAAAAATCACAATTACCTTTTAAATTTAAATTTTATTTTACAAGCTTACAAGGTGCAATCGCATTAGCAAAATGTTGTGGGTGAAACCATTGTCTATTATCAATAGTATATGCACAGCTCATAGAAGCTACTTTCAAACCAAGCTGCTTTCTGTTGGTCAATTTGAAAGACCTGATGCAAAAGATTTTTGGATGAAAATCTTCATCCATCCATCTTCATCCGCTTATCCGAGGTCGGGTCGCGGGGGCAGCAGTTCCAGCATGGGACCCCAAACTTCTCTTTCCCGAGCCACATTTGCCAGCTCTGACTGTGGTATCCTGAGGCATTCCCAAGGCAGTGTGGAGATATAATCTCTCCTCCTAGTTCTGGGTCTTCCCCGAGGTCTCCTCCCAGCTTACCGTGCCTGAAACACCTCTTTAGGGCGGCGTCCAGGAGGCATCCTTACCAGATGCCCAAACCACCTCAGCTGGCTCCTTTCGATGCAAAGGAGCAGTGGCTCTACTCTGTGGTCCTCTCTAAGGTAGACACCAGCCACCCGCCTGAGGAAACCCATTTCGGCCGCTTGTACCCGCGATCTCGTTCTTTCAGTCATGACCCAGCCTTCATGACCATAGGTGAGGGTAGGAAAGAAAATTGACTGGTAGATCGAGAGCTTTGCCTTATGGCTCAGCTCTCTTTTCGTCACAACGGTACGGTAAAGCGAGTGCAATACTGCCCCCGCTGCTCCGATTTTCCGGCCAATCTCCCCTCACTCGTGAACAAGACCCCGAGATACTTGAGCTCCTTCACTTGGGGTAAGGAAAATCTTTCCTCACAGAAAATTCCTGATTGTATGCATTTCTTTTGAAATTACTGTATTTTCTGTAACTCTGCACCTTAAAGGTGCTCTAAGCGACGTGACATGTTTTTTAGGCCCAAACATTTTTTGTCAGATACAGCAAAAATCTCCTCACTATCCACTAGCTGGCTGTCCCCTAAACACACTGTAAAAAAGCGCGGTCTATGCAGACAACCTAGGCACCGCAAATGGCAACAAAAACAAACTGCGGCAACCCGCTCCACGAAACATAATAAACTGTTCCAGCCAATAACTGACAAGAAGGCCCTGGGGGTGGGGTTTGGGGGGTCCGTGCAGATGAGGAGGAGGGAGGGTCTATCTAGCCTCCGTTTTGTTTGAAAATACTACGTCAACATGAAGCGCCTTTAACAGAATATTGGCAAAATAATGGCAAAATTTGGAAAATAGTCTTAAAAAACCCATAGCAGAACACACAGTAATGGCGCTCTTGAAAGAATCAGCATTTTAGAACCAATCATTTCAGTAAATGGTTCATTCCCACCATGTCAGATGGTACAGAGGTCACGTGCCACCAATCAGGGCTGTTTTTACGAGTTGGCTCCTTGAATCTGCAGCAGTCAGGTGGTCACATGGAGCTCTCTCTCAGAAAATTTGTTGTAATTATGAGTTTTCTGAAGACATGAAAGCTTTATATCAAATTTAAAGACCAGGACTAACTACAAATGTTTTATAAATAAGCGTTTTGTTTGCTACCCTTTGAGAGTTGTTGTTTCAGTTTATGAACCTTCTCGATCTAGTGTAAAAACTAGTACATTTTCTTGTAGACAGGAGACATTTAAGAGATTTACTGTATGTATTCATTTCATTTTACTTATTTATAACCATTGGGGGGGAAAAAAAGTTAGTTTGAGTGGTTAGAAAAGACATATCACTTTTCGAAGCCCCCCTAACCCTGAGTATTTGTCAAGCCAACATAATTACACTCTGTGTTCATAATAGCAGAAAGCACTATGATGGATTTCAGGAACCATTAGTGTTGGGATTTCTTCATAGTGCGTGTGCAGTAAGACAGCCCTACTAATGGTAATGGTAGGTGTCAAGGTGGATGCTGAAGTGTTTCCTCACTTTTCCTCAGGCGCCATGGCAACCCTGTTTAATAGAGGGGGTTGGTTGTCTTATCAGAAAATGCAATCTGCTGAGTTTACTGGGGGAGAGGACAGATTGCGGGCATGATGGGAAATTTCCATCACCTGCTTTTTCACTTACAGCTAACCACACGTCTAAATTTGAAAGCGAGTGCACTTCCAAAGATAAACACCCTTCGGGCAACACTGATTAATTCACATGTGTCATGCAGCCAGGGTTCATTTTATGTATAAAAATTTGTACAGCACATGTGATGTTCAGGGCTCTCTCCAGAGGCCTGCTTCTGTGCTGTTGAACACGCAGAATACCAAAATCTCGGCCGGGGTCATATCCATCCTAATCCACGCTAATGGAAAGAACACTGTATTCAATTTTTCCCTCATGAATCATGAATAGGAGTTTCAGTTGATACTCTGTGAGCAATGTAATTCTGTAGCAGGAGGAGGGGTAAATTAATAAGGCTATGGTACAACAAATAATCTATTAAGTGTGCTTGTGTAAATGTGTTTCTGGTGCATGGATATGTTTTTCTAGATGTGTGATAATAATGCAGAAAGTGATGCAAGTGCAAAACGTGAGTCCTCTGTCCACCTGGTGGCAGCAGACGCTATGAACGCGGATGACTGAAAGTTAGAACTATATGCTATTATTACAGTTTATCAGAGTGATCTTAAGGAAACTGAAAAGTGTGTCACAAATGGTTAGAGATTTGGAGCTTTATAGCTAAAACCTAAATGGAGATGTCATTTACAGTATTCAAAGTCATCACAAAATACTTAGGCTGTACAATAGTGCAGTCAAGTTCTTTAGATGTTTACCATGGTACTGAACGGTAAAGGTACTTTTCCAAAGAATTCCCACTCCAACACGGCCATGCGTTGTCACCTTAAATCAAAATACAAATATTAACATTTCTGATGGCACGTTTGCATGATGGTGATTAACGCTTTGGTTTTTTCCTCCCTCGGATCATCTGGACAGCAGTTAAATGGACCACTGCAGTCAGCCCACAAACCATCTCTCCCGTTCTCATTTTGCCCTCTTGGATCATCTTGACTTGATTTCAAGACCTTTTTTTTTTTTCTCTCGCAAACTCAGTGAGCTATGAGATTGCAGAGCCTTCATCAAAACCATAACTGTGTTCTGATGGCATTCACGCTCATGCGTTTGTTGCTTTTATCATGCGTTTTATTCGGCTGAACAGATGATTTGCAATTAATACTATTCAGAGTTGGAAGGAAGGGGGAGGTGGACGAGGAGAAGATCAAGGGATAAAAATACTACTCCTATTTATATGAGCCGGAATTCTAATCCAGGAGGAATGACGCATCGGTCCAACCCATTAACAGACCAAAGGATCCAAGCATCACTTTTCCTTT